TTTCTGTCTCAGAGTTATGGCGCCAGCATAAGTGGAAGTGACTGCTGTTTCATGGTAGTTTTTCAGTATGGCTCCATTGTGCTATTTAATGTTCGTGAACATGAGGTTGATGGGTATTTGAAAATTGTAGAGAAACATGCATCGGGATTGCTGCCTGAAATGAGAAAAGATGGTAAGAACTTCAAATGTATTTTTATACAAATTTGTTTGTTTTGTTTTGTTTGTTTGTTTGTTTTTTTTGTAACAGATTTCTTATACAAATTTGTTTCTACCGGAGTTATACCACTCTTATTGTTGGCACTTCTAGTGATATAAGACACTAAGTTTTCATTTATCAGAAAGGGAGTAAGAAAAAGAGGAGGAAATAAGCCATTATCCCTTTCCTAGAACCATCTATAAGAAATGGCCCCTATCTAAGTTGATTAGAATGGTATTTATAAAAAAAAAATGTTGGTTTGAATGGTAGAGTAGTTTAAAAATACGAGTCACTTTGTCTAGATGCATAAGATTGTCTTGGATTATATCTACTTTGAAAAACAATAACATGCCTTTCGATCTCCGTTGACAAAAAGTAGCCTTGACAACGTCCCTTCATGAATTCTAGCTTTGGGTTTTTAGTATGTTTTTCTGTTTTACTGCTTCCAGTTCCTACAAGTTTGTTGTCCTGCAATTTTGATAGCGTATTACTTAAAAATTGTGACATCTAGAGTTTTAAGAAAATAAATAAAACAATTTTTCGAAATTAAAAAAAAAAAAAAAAAGAGAGAGAAGGAAGGAAAGCTGGATGGCACGCAAGCAAGTTGGAGAAGATGACCGTATGGTCAACGGTTAGTTTCTCAACCTGTATCCCTTTTTTTTTTAATGAATTTGAAGCTTCTTCAAGTCCATTCTTCGAGCCATTCTCATGAGTTTTATTATTTTGACTTAAATTAGGTCATATCAAGGAATTGGAGAATTTGAAATTCTTGAAGACCCGAATCAAGCTCGGGAAGTCGACAAACAAGTAAGTAACCACATGGAGTAAGTTTTAAGAAGTACGTGTAGGAGTTGACTAGACCATGAAAAAATGATTAGAAATCATGTTTAGAAGCCTATTTAAGCTAATTTGCTAAGCCTAGAAAACTTAATAGTTTACGGTTTAGCACGGTACTTAGTTTTACAGCTTCTACCGTGCATAATTGTGAACTCTTATAGGGTTAATATGTTTATAAGTTTTCCAGCATGCCTGGGTTGATTTACTACCCCTTGTTTGAGCATGTTGAGCATGCTATATGTTTATAAATATATGATTTAGGGTTTGGGAATCCCAAGAATCATAAAGGGTATACTACTGAGGTAGCTGCAGTTGTTCTAGTGGGGAGCCATGACCTTATACTGTTCTAACTTGGGAGGTTGTGCAAATAGGCAGATAACTACTGACTCGATACCAAATTGTTACGAGCCAAAGTCTGCGATCGAGTTATGAGTCTCTCATAAGTGGAGGTAGACGGAGTTATGAGTCTCTCATAAGTGAAGAAGTATAAATTTTTTTTTGACTTATTTTGAACAATTGTAAGGCTCAAATAAAAGGAACCTTAATACCTCTGAGCTAAAGTACTCAAGACTAAATTGAAAATTTTTAGGTACATCTTCATTGATAAAGGAAAGTGAGTCCTTACCACTATCGCTACATCAATGGAGAGGATCATTCTCCTGAACCAAGGGAAATAACTGAAAATAGAGATGAAGGTCGAGGACTCCTCCTTACAATACGTAAACTGAAAAAGAAAAAAAATTGCGTAATGAAAATTTCAACCAACGGGTTTCATATGTGACGGCTTCTTTTTTCCACGAGTGTAATGCGTGTACATTTGTAGTAGAAGTTTATAGAGTTGTATGCATAAGCCTTATAGCGCATGAATAGACTAGAGCCAAGTCAATGGCTTGGGATTATAGTTGACCACATAGCCTAAGTATATGTTATAAAGTAAGTATGACGAGAGTCTACAAGTAGGTTGCTTATTGAGTATTTTTATACTCATTCTATGTTTTATTTTTTTTGTTTCCAGATGAAGTGTAGACCACTGTTGATGGCAGGAGCGTGCGGAGCCGTGCAAAGGGGGTGCCCTTTAGATCGAGTCATCTTCCTTCTTATCATTTTATTATTATTTTTAAATACTACTTCTCCAAACTTAGGTCTTTTTGTTTTTTAACTCTTTTGACTTGACTTCATGGATATTACCTATCTCTCACTTTACAAAAAGAAAATCTTACCACCCTTTTTACCTTTGAGTGTATGTGGTGACCTGTGATTTGGGGCATAAAAAATTGGGTCGTTACAAAAATAATACTATAGTAGAAGCGTATGGATTACTGAATTTGAAGTTTTATGAGTTTGTAGAGTATGAGGTCAGGGAGATGCCTGCCTTAGATACGTGGATGGAAGGGGGATTGGACTACATAATGCTGCAGTACTTGAATATTGATGGGATACGTACCATAGGTAGTGTTCTTGGCCAGAGCATTGCTCTTGATTACTATGGGCGTCAGGTAGTTACTATATCTAACTAGACATTTTAATACTATTTTACATTGATGATATTTAACCTGATCGATCGTGCTCTTGACATTTGCTTCAAAGGTTGATGGGATGGTTGCTGAATTCACTGACATAAACCGTGAAATGGAAGCAACTGGGAAGTTTAAAATGAAGAGGAAGAAACTTTTCCAATTGGTGGGAAAGGCAAATTCAAATCTTGCTGATGTCATTCTCAAGCTTGGACTTTTTGAAAGGTAAGTCATTTCCTGCAGTAAATTATTAGTTTACATGTAAAATTTTATTATTTATCTGCACAACAAGAGACAATGTACTTCCAATGATCAACGAAGAAGAAAATTAGCTCTTCAAATGGTTAATTGGATGTTGTTTGCTTTCTTGCTTGTTTTGGACTTGTAGTACTCTCCATTTATCTTATTGTAATAACTTTATTTTGGGCTTCCTCGTGGGTCATCGTCATTTTGCACTGGGAAAGTGATCTTTATTTATATTCGCTAATAGTTATTCCCTCGGGCTGTTTCTTGTGGATCCAATACTATCTTAACAGCAAATTTATGATCGGCGCACTTGTTATTTGGTTCACTGATTCCTGTATGGAACCTAATTTTTCATTTCTTTTATACCTTTTTCAGATCAGACATTGCGTGGAAGAATGCAAAATATGCCCAAATATGGGAATATCTGAGAGATGAGTTTGAGCTAACCCAGAGATTCGCAAGTTTGGATTTCAAATTGAAGTTTGTGGAGGTAGCCATCATCTTCTTTAGATGAGAATTTGTTCTTCAGACAACATCTATAACTCCACCCACTGACTTTTTCATTCCTCCTTTTTTGTTGTCAGCATAATATTCGCTTCCTACAGGAGATTCTCCAAAACAGGAAATCAGATTTTTTGGAATGGCTGATCATTGCATTGATCGGTGCAGAAATTTTACTTTCACTTTATGACATTATCCATAGATCAGCCGCTAATCTTTAGCACTGCTTGCTTGCTTGCATGCATGCATGCTGATCCTTGAAGTTGTCGGAGGTTGGTAGTTTTGGCTTTCAGCCTCTCGTATATTCGCCACTACTACAATTTGTACAATGTACATATAGCTATGTAAATTTGGAACATTCTGCTATATACCGGACCCTGCTTTGTAAATTTTAAAGAGTTTTACCAATGTCGTTTGACTGAAATGGACCTTACCCTGTCGTTTGACTGATTAGCAAAAGAAAGGCCCACTAATCAATTTTTGTTGTTTCATCAAATTATATAAATATTTTGAGCTAAAATGGAAAAGAAATGTACCCCAGAAAATCAGTACTTAATTTTATTATAATTTTTTTTATGGGTTTAAGTTTTTTCTTAATTATTTTTTTAAATATTTCATATAACTGATAAATATTTTAAAAAGTGATAAAGATGGTGATGTTTAGATAAATTAAGCATCATAAACTCAGTTTAGTATTTACTTTAATAGTATTAATTTTGTTAATAATTTTTTAATTTCAACATTTTCGTCCATATACTTAAATTGTAAGAATTTTGTCGTTATCATACAAATTATTATTTAAATTTAATTAGATTACATCAATAAACTAATTACGAATCTAATATATTTATGAGTCAAAATCTAAATTAAATAACAAAAATTCATATTTAGTTTTGAAATTTTTTTGGAAGGTAAGAATTAAACTGTTACCTGCTCCATAAACTCTTACCAATTAAAAAAAATATAAAATTAGTTTAAACTTAACGTGTTAATTTATCATTACTTACGTCGGACTTAAAAGAAACATAAATATTTATAATAATGAATAATATTTAAAAAATATTCAAGTTATTAACGACGGACGAAACCAAGAAATAACCCTCACTTAAGAATAATAAATAATATTAAAATTATTAATGACGGGATGAAACCAAGAAATAACCCATTGTACGAAATTATAGAAGATCTCCTGATCAAACAATTCCATCGAATTGTATGTGTGATAACATCTAATATACTATACCAGAAATATAAATGAAACGGATTATTGAAATTGACCAATATACCCTTTGTTCGTTTAGCTTATAAAATCTATTTCTTAGTTTAAAATCCCTCTCACCAACAGAAAGAAGTATCTTTTTTTAGTTCAGTAGAATCTATTTTTTAGTTGAAGATCTCTCTTACTAACTGACATGAAAGAATTAGTAAATCTGTTGTGCAGAAAATGAGGATGAACTAGGGTTACGAACTTATAACCTATAATAAGATGAACTAGTCAATTCCATGATTATAAGTTCGTATCGGAACATCTTTAAATATGTAAAATTATATTTTTTTAAGAAAAAAACTCAAATATTTATTTTATATGCGGAATTGAAATAATAAAATGAAGAGAATAAAGTCATTAATTCGGGTAGGTTTAGGAAAAAAATGAAATTTGTATTCCAAAATTAGTAAAAAAAAAAAAAAATGAAGGAATAGACAAAAGGTTGTGTTAATGAGTGTGTTCTTCTCCAACGTCCGATCTTCGTTTTCTTTTAAAAACATATATTCCGCCAATCTCCATTCTTCATTTTCCACTTTCAGATCTTCATTCGCCATTTTCTTCATTCTCTCTCTCTCCCTCTGCGCGCCAAATACAAATTCTCTCATCTTTCCCTCTTCCCTCTGGATTCCAGGTACTCTCTTTCCATTACACACTTAGGGTTCCACCAATTCATTGTTGTTACTGTTTTTTTTTACTCTTCTGCTTGATTCAAGATCTCCCTCACATGGCGGACCCTCCTACTAGTCCTGCCGGCGGTAGCCATGAGAGCGGCGGTGAGCAGAGCCCCCACACTGGCGGCGTTCGCGAGCAGGACCGTTACCTTCCGATCGCTAACATCAGTCGGATCATGAAGAAGGCCTTGCCTGCTAATGGCAAGATCGCCAAGGACGCTAAGGATACCGTCCAAGAATGCGTCTCCGAATTCATTAGCTTTATCACTAGCGAGTGCGTTTCTGATCTGTTTCGCTTTCTGGATCGTGGGTCTTTTTTTTTTTTTTTTGGGTGGGGGGAATTGGATTGGATTGGATGTAATTCGTTTGGTTTTTGTATGTAGGGCGAGTGATAAGTGCCAGAAGGAGAAGAGGAAGACTATTAATGGCGATGATTTGCTTTGGGCCATGGCAACGTTGGGTTTCGAGGATTATATTGATCCGCTTAAGTCGTACCTTACTAGGTACCGTGAGGTAAAATTGTTTCTTATTTCTGGCTTTTACATGGCTTGTATTTACGTGTGCCTCGCGTGGAGACTTAATTGTACATGAACTGATGCGGATTGTTATAGACGTCCAGAGTAAAGGAATTAGACCTCTTCTCGCACTTTATATTACTTATCGTGATTGAGATTTGGGTGTGGTTAGAACTTTCATCAGCTGATCAGGAGAGGCTTTATGCCCCGACATTTTGAATTAAATTTGTTCGGTTGCTTTTTTAATGAGGTTATTTAATTTATTTGATCTCATCACTATGATGTGCTCACATTTGTTTTCTTTTTTCTTCCCTTTTTTGGTTTTTTGGTGGGGCTATGGTGTTGCTTCAGTTGGAGGTAATTGAAACCAGCTCTTAAACCTAGTATTCTACTGGTTTATTGTACCCCCACCCCCCCTCTAACCTGAGCAGTCCTTGGGAGAAATGTATATACTGAGCTTTTCTTGTTAAATGTAAACTTGTCCAGTGTGATGCGAAAGGATCTTCGAGGGGTGGTGAAGAATCTGCTAAAAGAGATGCAGTTGGAGCCTTGCCTGGTCAAAATTCCCAGGTTTACTTACTTTCCACAGAATCTTGTTTTTTCACAGAGAATTTTTATTTATTTTCATGGCAACATGAATTGAAAATTTCTTTCTTTACCATGTAATCATTTCTTAACATGTGGTGTAAATATCTGCAGCAGTACTTGCAGCCAGGAGCATTGACCTACATTAACACTCAAGTAATAATCTCTTCTCTCTCAACTTGTCAACACGCTATTTAGGAATATCCTCCTTTTCATTGCTAATAATTGGACTGAAATTCATGGTTATTATTAGCTTTTTACCGTTGCCAGTATTGTCTCTAATTGTTGAGTGTTGCTTAGGAGATAGACCAGTTTCTTCACTTCCCTTCATATATGTATCCTACCTTTTCTTCTCATATATCATTTGCTTGTCCAGAAGCTCGTAGGATTTCATCCTAGGTAGTTTATATACTTTTTTTCATATGCCTAGTTTCACCAGGGCAGCCAATGGCAGTTTATATTTAAATGATATGCATTTAATTTTGTAAGAAGATACATAATTAAATAAAAATTTGATTATTCTACCATTCAAATAACCCATATTCTGGAGGAATTTCTGGACATATCTTAATGTGTCGTACAGTTTGATTACTCAGGAAAGAAGATTTCATGGTCTTGAAAAATTGTCTGCATAAAGATACTATTCGCCTGGAACAATATCCTACACCTAGCACCAAATTTTCTGAGATGTAAATATTTATATAGCCCCTTTTTGTCCCTAGTAATTTTCCATATCCATTTCCTGCCCATTTGATTTTAAATGTTCCTAATTCAGAAGGAAGCTATAAATGAAGAATGGAACAGTGTTCTCACATCACTTGAATGTGATAGTTATTGGTTTCGCTTTTGTAACGAATGCTTGAATATTAATTCTTATCTTTCTTTCATGGTTCCACCTTCTTGGTTTTCTAGGATGAAAAGAAAATGAATTGCACTACTTCTCTATCTACTTGTCATAATAGGGACAGATGGGGAGGATATGCATATTTCCCTGTTATATTCATTCATTGCAGTCTGTAGGAGAATAAAATAACTTTAATTGTACCATTATCCGTGCTATTTGTCCTAGTATAGGAGGATATATCTGTTTACCTATCTCATAGATTTGTATTTGACATAAAATAATGATGCTAGATATTTTCCTCTGTAGTGGGTCATATTATAATTTCTTCTGTATGCAAGGATATTAAATCTCTTAACAAGGCCAAGAAAATTTTCGTGTCAAATGTATAGGAGCGGCTGACTCAGTATGGTTGTTACTTGTCCTCACATGATCATCAAATGCATGGTGAAGAAACATTTTTATAATCTCTCAACCATGCATCTAATGATCATGGGAGTGACAGATTGAACTCCTGTATACCTAGAGTCCTCCCATTCCCTAAAAAGCAAGGGCTCCCTTTAAGTCTTCCAAATCTCCACTCTTACAGTCTATATTTGGGCACAAGACTACAAAGGATTGGAAAAAAAAAAATTATACGCCAACCTAACTAACATTATTAATTGAAGAGCACTTTCCTTTCTATCAATTAATTTGTGACAGGTCTCAGATATCCAAATTGAGCTCTGCCTCTGGAACAACCAGCCTTAGGGAACTTTTCTTTCCTTACCCACTTTAATTTACTTTTTACCATAGAGTCAAAGAACTTGCTTGGCTAATTTGATCTCTCATTGATGCAGTGATTATGAATTTATGATGACATAATCTGCCTTTGCTAATTTTGAGCTTGGTAGTTCGAAGAACCAGGGTATCCTAAAGGTTATGAGTACAAATCTTCTCCATGGCGGCATACATGAACAAATGTCTTATGAGTACCCTTTTTTTTGGTATGAAAAACTATGGGGTCAGCACTACAGTCTCTTGATAAAATAGGTGGAAGTCTGTAGATGTATCAAAATGGGCTAGAATGAAAAGAAGTGTTAAAATATGGAAATTTATTGTGCTTTGATTCTCAACTTTTTAATGCCCATCTAATCTTTGACAAGTTCTTTGAAATTGAGTAATCATGTAGCATATTGTCAATTTTGTCTTTTATTTGATCTAATGATCTATATCTTAATCTTTCCTGATTTGCCTTTACACTAGTAGTTTATGACCATGAAATGTGTTTTGCTGGTTTTAATTACTTAGGCGAATTCTATCTGCATTCTGAGATGTTCATGTGGGGGTAGATCAAATGTTTATTTTTACTTGGCTGTTCGAATTTTTGCATTATTGATCCAGTACATTATGAGAAATAAACAGTGAACCTTTATTATCGGGTTAATCTCAAATTCACTTTTTTACCCCCCTCCTCCTATGCATACTTTGTCAGCACGGTTTTTGCCTTTAAAAAAATGTATGTAAAAAATTGCTTTGCGTCCTGCTCCGTATTGGATGGTCCTTCAACAGTGATTTATTCTTGAAAAATACGTTTTGGTTTTGGGAGAATTGAAATCATTATGGGAATGAGCGCAATTTTCTTGATTTCTTTGTGGAATAACTCTCAGTGCTACTGAGATATGTATGAGATTTTGCATGGAAATATGTAGCATCTTTATGTATTTGTTTCTCAAAAAAAATTATAATATAAGGTCGAGGTCTAAAGTGTTGTCTGATGAATAATCTCAATTTAAACAATGCTAGCATGTATATACGGTCAACAACTGTATTGTAGATGTTAAAGTGCGATTTCTGATGATATTTTCACTGACTCCGTTATTTTTTCAACATTCTATGTTCTGCAGGGACAGCATTTTGATCGCTCCTTCAATGCAGAATAATGAGTAGGAATCTCCTGCATTTCCACGATTGTCGAAACTCTTCTACATATATCTTTACAATCGATTTGGTTCTGGATTTGATTTTGGTTTGGGCTTTGAGGTGGGCTTCGATTTTCTTGATGCTCTCGTCAGCTAAAGTTATTGTAAATTTGGGACCTTCAATTTAGTATAGTTGCTTTGGTAGGCAACTGGAAATATATTATTCTCTTTCCCACTTCTGTTTCTTTTGGTTTTGAATGATTCAGAAAGTGATACGTGTACCTCCTCTCTCTCTCTACTCAAACAAATCTTAAAGAACAGATTCCATAATGCCTATTTATTCTGTTGGTTGATTTTTCATCGAAGTGCTTTACTAGAATCTGACTGTAGGCCAACTGTAAGTTTCTTTTGACTTGGCGGGAGAGACGGCGTTGTGGGCACTGCAATCTTCTTAACAACCATCTTGCTCGGTTCCCCTACACCAACAATTATCAAAGAGAGGAAAACAAACCGATCAAAGCAGCTCAGCTATCCTCCATCTTTAAAAGAACTTTGGTAAGATCATATTATGCTTCAATTCCTCTAACTAGTTGATGAGCTGTGTGATTCGATGCTTAAGCCTTTTTATATATACTTGTTTGTTTATGATTTTGACCATTTCTATCCGTATTGATTATGTTCTGAATGAGAGATTTTGGTCCAAGAAACTGTCCATTTAAAATAGGTTCAAAAGAAAATTTGAAGAACTATAGTTACTGTTGCCATATAACTCGACTGTATAGTACATGTAATTTTGACCGAGATATCTGAAGTTCGTATCTCGATGCCGAACATGCAGTGTAATTATACTTTTATGAACAATGATATTGTTGTTTCGAACTTTAGAGTATATGTTAGTTTGAGAATCTTGTAGAGAACATTTGATAAATGAAGGTGAATGATGATGTATTTCTGTGAGTCAATTGTGTAAGCATGGTGGTCATTATTCGTCCAAGGAGTAGGAGCACGTGGTGGATATACGCCCCACCATTGGCAAACTAGTAGAGGTCACGTTAGTAGCACGTGATATGTGATTACAAACAGAGTGGGCTTTGGTGAGGAAACATTTACAATGGTACAACACAACACCCTTCTCTTTCTCTCTCATTCTGTTATGTATGTTCTGACTTAAATGTGTTTTCCATTGAAAGAAAGCAGTGGAGGGAGGCCTCTCCCATCTGTCAATCCACTCACCTCACCCAATTGGGACAACAACGCATTCCACGGACCCTATTTGTTACGGAAATTCATGAATCCCACAGCTCTGTTTTGGTAACTCTTTCTAACACTTCATGCCTCTTTGATTTGACTTCATTAAAGCGTTTTTGCCCCTTCCCTCTCCCTCTCCCTTTCCTTGCCCATTCTTGTTTATTATCACATCAGTATGTGGCCAAACCAACCCGTAATCTCAACGACCCAATTGCAAGAGCGGAACTCTACCAATTAAGCTATATCCTCCCGAGCTAAATGGGGCCTGTATGAAGGAGTTACATGCTTCTTCTATTCTTTTATTCTTTTCCTTGATCAAATTCTATTGAGTCTGACTCATAGGGATCATTTATCAAAGAATGACTCTAGTTATCAAATGAATTGAATTCTTTCTGGTTTCTAGTTGGTCGAGAACAATTAGAAGAATCTCGAGAAATATGGGGTTCTACTTCTAGTGGCAAATAATCCAGGGGTTCTTTTCTTTTACAATAATTATTTAGGAGAATGAGGCATTTGGTGACATTTTGTTTTAATGATGTGAGATTTTTAAAGTTATATAGGTCGAATTTAGTCTAATTTCAATGTGTTGCTGTTTATTTGTTGCTTATAAATTTAAAAATGTCCTTTTGGATGAGATTTATGTTACTCGAATATTGGTATATATATAATGAATTGAATTTTCTAAAGGTTTATTGATGCTTAGATTATCGTTCCAAAAGAGAGATTGAAGTAACCTAGTTTTGTGGTAGTACTTCATGCAACATACTATACTATTCCATCAAATCTCAAGCTACCTTTAGTGTTCTTTTACAGCAAAATAATAATAATAATAATAATAATAAATAAATAAATAAATAAATAAAAGAGTAAGCATGCCAAATAGGTATTGATTTAAAAACTTAAAGTGAGTAAAAAAGAAATAATAATGATAAAACAGAAGCAAGAAAGAAGACCAAGCCAGCTCAGACCTTAATTCATTCAAATAAAGCATTTAGCCTTTTGGAAGTTTGCAAATACCCGAGACTGAGAGAGAGAAAAATGGGAATATATATATTAAAAAATTAAGGAAATGGCCAGCTCAGAGGAACATGACCCCTTGCTCAGGGCTCTGCTCACACATTTTCTAATATTTCTTTTTTATATTTTAAAAATCAATTTTAACTTTTTAATCTCTTTTTAATCCTTGGAATTAAAAAAGTATTTAGTTTGCACCCTCAAAAAAGCCATTTTAATCTACAATTTTTTTAAAAAATATTTATTACCTACCATTGATATATTCTAATACATATGTCACACCAATACACATCCTAAAAAACTAATGTCTAATATATTATTTTTTTTTCACGTTTAAAAATTGAGATTAAACTATTAATTTAAACATAATTCAATTAATTAAGTCACTATAAGATCGAAATTTTTACGATGGTTTCATATAAATTCTTTAAAAAAGAAAAATTATATAGTTTTCAACATTAAAATTATTTTTAAAAACACATAAAAAAAAAAAAGTAGAGTGAATTAAAATAAATTAGGGGTAGAATTGGTAAATATCAAATGTTTATGGAATGAAATGAGAGTTAAAATATGAAATTTAAAAATTTGAAGGACTAAAATAGAATTAAAAAGAAAAAAAAAATTGAGAGATATTGAAATGGAAAGAGAACGTGTAAGGCACTGGGGGCAATGGCTGGGCTCTCATGCATGGGATGGGATGAACTGCCCTTCAACGCCTTTAATTTACGTAAATACCCCTCCTGCTCTCTTACAGCTGGCCACGTTGCTCCTCATTCTAGAGAGAGAAAGCTGACTGTGTTTGTCACGTGGCGTTTCTCACGTGCATTGCTATGATTGAGTTGTAGAGACTAGAGAGAGAAACCGATTGAATGAATGAATTTTGAGTACAAGATTTCCACGCCCCCCCCCCTGCCCGTATCTCTGCACGGGCTGCCCTTTTTTGTTTTCCCCTTCCCCATCTCTATAATTTTCTAAAATTTTGTTAAAATTCATTTTTCCAACTCTCTCCTATTTATAATTTTAATTTTTTTTAAAAATATATTCTCTATGTTTTAAAATTCTTAATATATTAAACTTGCTTCTAAACTCAATATTTAAATAAGTCGCGTCCACAAAATAGCTTAATAAGAATTATTTAAATGATTTAAAATAAATAAATTCTTTGTAAATGAATTACTATTTCACCGTATTTTGGAGCAATATCAGTTGAAAATGGTAACTTTTAAGCTCATTGATACCACAATGGTTACTAACTCAACTGCAACTTAAAATTTTAAAATAATATTCTCAAATTAAAGAGTACGGTGAAACTTCCGTAAATCCAAACAAGTACGTTATCGTGCACCGTAAAATCACGTGATATGATTAAGACACCTTATTTTATACAAATCTCGTAAAATATACCTATAAAAAATTTATTGCATATGATTGATTCATGAATTTCAACCGGGGAAAGTTTGAGTTTATATATTATATAGAAATAAAAAAAATTATATTGTATTTAATTTACGAACATGCAAGTCAATATGAAATATTTTAAAGGGGTTATGTTGTTTATAAAAACGTTAATTTACGGTTACGAAACACACACGCTATTCTATTAAAAGCTTGAACTTTTATACTTTATTGTTGTCTACTCCGGTTATATGTTATCAAACTCGTTATTGTTGCGTAATATTTCTTTTAGCTTATAACATTGCTTTCTTTCAAATTATTTTCAACGTACTTTCTCGTTCACGATTTATAAAATATTTCTCTCAAACGTGACTTGATACTCGAGTAGACGTCGACATTGTCCATGAAGCCTAAATTTTTTACGACCGACTTGTTCGTTGGGTTAAAATAAATGTCGTACCATCATCGTCCTAGTGCCACAAGAGTGCGATTGTAGTAGAAGACGGATAATTGATGGTGAATTAATTAGGGTTGTTCGCAAGAAAAATTATTTGGAGGCTTCCCGTTTGTACACTCAATATATGGAAATTAATTGAGATGTGTGGTTTTGATAAGTTAAGATTATTACTTTTTTAATAATTGTAATTTATAGGTAAATACATTAATTATTCTATTTCCTATAAAAAGAATTTCCCAGAAAATAAAAATAAAAATAAATAAAAAAAGAAAATAAATTGTGTGTGTGCTCACGTTGATGATAGCCTTCAGCAATTTGCCTATCTGTCCGCCTCTCTGTCTCTCTCTGTCTTCTTCCATTTCTTTATTTCCAGACCACTCTGTTCTTCTTCTTCTTCTTCTTCTTCTTCCTTTCCGCCTCCTTATATAATCCCTTCCTCCTCTTCCCCACCACCATTTTTGCTTTCTTTCCAAGCTTTTTTCGTTTCTACTGTTTTCATTTCGCCGGAATCGCGACTGGAGCGACGATGATGAGCAACAATAATGCAGGTCTGTTCGGCGACACTACGCTGACGAAGGTCTTCGTCGGAGGTTTGGCTTGGGAGACTCCCAAGGAAGCGATGAGAGATCACTTCGAGAAGTTCGGTGAGATCCTGGAGGCGGTTATCATCTCCGATAAACTCACGGGCAGATCCAAGGGCTATGGATTTGTAAGTCTGGAATTCATTCATTGAATCGCAATGTGAATCGATTGGATTTCATTTTTGTTGATTTCTGTTTTTTTATTTTAAAATTAGGTTACATTCAAGGACGCGGAATCGGCGAAGAAGGCTTGTGAGGATTCGGCTCCGATCATCAATGGCCGCCGAGCTAACTGTAATCTGGCTTCGCTTGGAGCTCGACGTGGCTCGAGGTCGGCTTCGGCTACTCCTCCACAAGCTCCTCAGCATCCTGGTAAACGATTCCTCTCTTCCTCTCTCTGTGCATGATGAAACTAGTCAATTCGTTACTCGACAATGGCGTTTTCGTAGTTTCTCTTAGAAATTTCGGACGGTGGAGATCTCACGTTGGTTTTGTGATGCCATTGAAGGATCGAACGGCGGTGGACCGAGGACGACGTCAGCACCATCGGGAAACCATGTGCAGTGGTACTACCCGGCGGGGACTTACCCGACGTCGTTTCGTCATCAGCCTCATCAAGCCGTCCCTTTCTACGGGTACACCTTAAAGATCCTACACCTCTTTCGTATTCTAACATTACCCATCTTTATACAGTTAATTTCCTTTTTTTTTCCCTTTTTAAATTAACGTAAATTTATAATTATATTTAGATATTCCCCAAGCCCCACTTATATCGCTACCGATATCAGTTACAACCACGTAAGCATTTTTATTCCATGTTAAATTATAATTTAAATTAATAAGAATTGCTGGAAATATATAAACGGCGACGTTTCATGGTGAATTACAGAAAGTGGGGTACATGAACGGGCATTACAGGCAGATATATCCGGGGCAGGCTATGGTAGGGGCGAACACATTGATGCCAATGTACCCGCTGTATCATTACCATCAATCACACGCGATGGGGATGCCGGCCCACATATACCCTCCCAGTCCCACGGCGGCGGTCCCACCTTCCTCCATTATGTCCAAACCGGCCTCCGTCGCTCCCACCCCAGGTCCCTTCTTACTTCTCTTCGCTTCCCCCATTTTTTGTTTAAATTCTTCAAATTAAACGCTGAATTAGAGAGAGATTTGATGAAAACAGAATTTAAATCCATAAATAAAGAGAGAGGAATCAGAGTCGTTCACGTGAAAGGGTGATTTTAGTGAAGGGTCTCCTCCCCCACTGCCAACTGGCGTCTCTGGGTCCCACGTGGCCAGCTTGATCTGCCGGTCGTGGGGTGGTCTCTTGCTGTCCCTTTCCAGATGTTAATATTCCCTAATGTTGAGGACTCTTGTGCAAAATCAACTTTCTTTTCTTTCTTTTTCTGGATTTGTAAATAAAGTGTTGGTGAAGATACCAAAAATATATAATAATTTGTTTAAAACTTCAGTGTGGGTATGATAATGAAACTGATATTAGAAAGAACAGTTTGCTTGGTTGTGGAATAATAGGTAAAGTCGGAGGAGAATGCATGCAATGGAAAGAAGAAGAAGAAGATGATGATGATAATGATGGTAAAAGAAGAGCACAGAAGAATTGAATAGACGAAGGTGGGGGGTGGGGGGCTGCTCAGAACTACATTATTTTAGCCTGATGATCTGTTGTAGCTCTTTATTTCTTTGTTTCCTTCTTTTAATTAAATTATAAACTAATTTCATTGTTATTAATTTCAATTTTTTTTGCCCCTTCTCTCTCTCTCTAATTCAGTCTTGTCAGTTCCTTTATCTCTCTCTCTCTCTCTCTCTCTAACATTGAAAAACAGAAGTTGCAGAACAGAACAGAGAGGCTGCTTTTTAATGAATGGGCAGCTTGCTTGCTTGCTTGCTTGCTTTACCCCAACTTTAATGTCTTTCTTCTTCTGTAATGCATAAACCCTTCCATTAATTGGGTGTATATAAAGGAACAGTCGAACGTGGCATAGTCATGGGCGGATGGATCTCTATTGATGTCTTTACCTTTGGAACTCCATTATTCTATAAACTTCTTGATGACTTTGGGGATTCTAATGCTTTTGATGATGTGAGATCCTACCTCTCCCGTTCTTGAAGAGGGGGACGACACATTTTTTTTATAAGAATGTAAAAAACATTTTATTAACATACATATTTTAAAACTTTAGTGGATTAAAATAAACATTATTTACTAACGGTGAGTTTGAATTGTTACAAATGATATTAAAGCTAAATACGGAGGCAGTGTGGCCCTACGAGATGGATTGTGAGATCTCGTTTCTTTATATTAAATAGATCCGTGTTCAAAATATATGAATTAAATTTGATAGTGTTTGTTAAATCTTATAACATTAATTACGAGAAAAATAGATTTGGGTTTATTTAATATTTTAATAAAAAAGTAATGTTATTAATTTATTTTCAAACATTCAAATAATATTCTGAATGAAACAATAGACATCTTAAGTTTAAAACGCAATTTAATTAAATTGGAAGTTTAGGACTAAATTTATCACTAAAATAAAAACAAATGTCATATTTATAAATAAATTTCAGTATTTAATTTATAATTTATCAGCTGGAAAATGAAATTTAATTAAACAAGGGAAAAGGCTAAAGCATATTTATATTTATATTTATATTTATATTTATATTTAGTATTTAATTATTATTTTTATTAATTTTTTTTCCCCGGCTGTTTCGAGTTTCCAAAGCTTCGTTCCGAAATAAAATTCGGGATCTCTCTTTGTCTCTCTCTAAACCCCCAAACCCTTTCTCTCTCCTTCCCAAACAAACTCAATTCTTTTGAGAAGATCCACTAAGGTACACTCATTTTCTTTCTCTGCTACTTGAATTTTCTGTTTATCTATAATTTCAACGTGTTTCTGTTTCTAAATTATGATTTTTCATTCTCATCGGTTCTTAGATCCCGATTGGTTTGCTTAATTAGGGCTTCTGCTGTTCTCCGAGCAATTTTGTTTTTTTGCACCCTTTGTTCGACAAATTACTCGTATTCTGTTTTTCATGGATGAACCGGATGAGAGAGATGGTTCTCTTGGTGTTTTAGAGTCAACTGTTACTGATGGGGAGCATGTAGTGGATGATTCTAGTGTTAGTATTAATAAGGAACGGGTTCAGAGTTCGTTGTCTGAGGAGATGGGGAGGGTGGAGGGGGGTGATGCGGCTTGTAATGGTGGTGGTGAGGATATTATGGTGGAAGTTTTGGGTTCTGATGTTTATTTTGATGGTGTATGTACTGATAGGGCTGCTGGGAATTTGGATGAGGTTGGTTCTGGTGGTTCAACGGGGGAGGAGTCTCCTCGTGGAGATACCGGGGCCTTCAACGAGTCTGGTGTAGGGGTCTCTGGTGGTGTGGAAAGTGAGGGAGTATCAGGGGTTGGGGAATCAGTTAAAGAATCATCTCAAGAAGGTGTGGAGGGTGATGAAAGTGTCGTTGAGGCTATGGATGTAGATACTCCGGTAGTTCATACTAGTCCAGATGATAAAGTTTTGAACAATGAAGAGCCTCGTAAAGTGGAGGCTCATTCTGAGGAATCGAAGAATTCTCCCACAGACAATGGGTTTGGAGATGACTCAGTGCATGCAGGTGGGGGAATCGAACTTGTAACAGAGGAAGCCCCAATAAGTGATGGGGGAGAAAGTCTGGAAAAAGGAGCAGGTCAAAAGAGTGTGGAAGGAAGTGAGCAAATTGTTGATACACCAGTTGACCAGCAGGGTGCAGAACTTGGAGTTTCCGATGTGGATGCACGGAATCCTGGAATCAAGACTTCGACTTCTTCTGCAGATGGTAGTGAAAATTCAACTTCACTGGGCCATGATGGTACTGAAAATGCTCCCGACACACGCATTGAAAAAGCTTTGAATCCTGAAGTTATTTCTCATAATGATGTTGCAGGGAAAGACCTTTCTAAATTGGACAGGGAGGAGAGTTGTATAGTTGAGACGGAGGATGAAGATGTCGGAAAAAGTGATCCTGTAGATGCTCAGAACCCAGTTGATGGAGGAGGGGAACTTCCTAATAGCATTTTGACTTATGGGAAGAAGTGTGCAGGGCTAAAGTCAGTTCAAGTCCCAGATATAGCTGCACGAGCACTTGAGAGTGAAAATTTGGATTCAAGTATAACAGTTCCTGAAAAGGTGGTGAATTCAGATCCAGCTGTAGCTGTGGATTCGATATCGTTGAGTCAACCGAACCAGGATGATGAGGTAACTGTTGCAGCTAAAAATGATGGGAAAATTTTGGCTCCAAGTATTGAGGTTTCTGCTGAAAATGAGCAAAATTTGAATGTGCAGATAGAATGCAGGAGTATGGAGTCAGATCCTCAATCCAATGGACAAGGCGGGGGCATTGGCATGAATGTCGAGGGAATTGCTGTTATTGATAGTAATCTGGCTGATTTTGAGAATGTGGAAGGAATGCAAGATGATCAAAGTTTCAATGTTGACCAGGTGGGATTACATGGCGAGGAAGAAATGGAAGACATGTCGGGTATTGATAACGATGGCGATCAAATTGATGAATGTGCAGAAGAGAATCCTGAAAGTTCAGTACAATTGCATCAATCTCATTACGAATTGCCATTGGAGAATGAAGGTGATTTTTCTGTTTCTGATTTAGTGTGGGGTAAAGTGAGGAGCCATCCTTGGTGGCCAGGCCAGATATTTGATCCATCTGATTCTTCTGATAAGGCAATGAAATATTATAAAAAGGACTTCTTTTTGGTTGCATATTTTGGGGACTGTTCATTTGCGTGGAATGAAGTGTCTCACTTAAAACCTTTTCGGACACATTTCTCCCAAGAAGAGATGCAAAGCCATTCAGAAGCTTTCCAGAATGCTGTTGAGTGCGCTCTAGAAGAAGTCTCTCGACGATATGAATTGGGGCTAGCGTGTTCGTGTATACCAAGAGAAGCATATGACATGATTAAATGTCAGGTTATTGAAAATGCTGGTATTAGAGAAGAATCATCTAGAAGGTACGGTGTAGACAAATCTGCTAGTGCTACATCATTTGAGCCAGCTAAATTCATTGAATACATCAGGGACTTGGCAAAGTTTCCAGCTGATGGCGGCGACCGTTTGGACCTAGTGATTGCTAAGGCCCAGCTGACCGCATTTTATCGTCTAAAGGGCCATTGTGGCTTGCCTCAATTCCAATCCGGCCTGGAGGACAGTGAGTTAGACAGTTTATGCATTGAAACGCAGTCAGGTGATTACGCTCAGCATGCAGATCCTTGCCAGGATGATGCACAGACATCCGCATATAAGGAGAGTTTGGAAGGACGGAGTAGTTCTTATCATAAACGCAAACATAACTTGAAGGATGGTATGTTTCCAAAGACGAAAGAAAAGAGTTTGTATGAACTTATGGAGGACGTAGATAATCTAGATGGAGAGAATTGGTCTGATGCAAGGACGACTACTGCATTGGTGTCACCTTCTACTAAGAGACGGAAGACAGAACATCCTATTGATGATTCTGGTACGTCGGATGGAAGGAAAACTATATCCTTGGCAAAGGTTTCTGGAACTGCACCTCTTAAACAGTCCTTCAAAATTGGTGATTGTATTCGTAGGGTTGCTAGTCAGTTGACTGGTACACCACCAATTGTCAAGTCTATTAGTGAGAGATTCCAAAGGCCAGATGGCAGCTTTGATGGGCATGCGGTCCCTGAATCTGACGTTTTCCTTCAGAACTTTGATGATGCCCAAAGAGGTAGGGTAAATTTTCCTACAGAGTACTCCTCTTTGGATGAATTGCTTGGCCAACTTCAACTAGTGGCAAGCGATCCAATGAAGGAATACAGCTTCTTGAACGTAATAGTCTGTTTTTTCACCGATTTTCGAGATTCTTTAATTTTGAGGCAGCAGCCTGGAAGTGAAGAGGCCATGGACAGAATCAGTAGTAAGAGGAGAGTACAACTTACTTCTACTTCTGCTTCACCACAAACTTTTGAATTCGAGGATATGAGTGACACTTATTGGACGGACAGGGTTATCCAAAATGGAACTGAAGTTCAGCCCCCTCGTAAAACCAGAAAACGTGATTACCAACTTGCAGTTGCAGAGTCGGAAAAGGCTCTTCAAGGGAGTCGGAGGCCGTACAAGAAGCGACATTCTGCTGGAAATCATGCTATGTCAGCTGAGAAGTTTACTGGCTCTGTAGATCAGCCATCTCCTGCTGAACTTGTAATGAACTTTTCTGAGGTGGATTCTGTGCCATCAGAAAAGACCCTGAATAACATGTTTAGGCGGTTCGGACCCTTAAGAGAATATGAGACTGAAGTCGACAGGGAGGGTGGTCGTGCAAGAGTCGTTTTCAAAAAGTCTTCTGATGCAGAAATTGCTTATGGCGCTGCTGGAAGGTTTAGCATCTTTGGACCAAGACTTGTAAATTACCAGCTCAGCTATGTTCTTTCTACCCTTTTCAAAACTTCTCAAATTCCCAGACTTCAGGATCAGGAAATGCATCTCGATCTTAGCACGTCTCAATTCCAGGAAATGCAACTTGATCTATCCTCTTTCCACGACCATGAAATGCAGCTTGATTTATCTTCAATTCATGACCAGGACATGCAACTTGATCTTTCCTCGATTGGCTACCAGGAAATGGAATCTGTCCTTGGTCCGAACCATGACCAGGAGAGTAAACCTAATTACACTGCTCATCTTGGGGAGATGCAGGCTGGTTTTTCAACAATCCAATATGAGAGGCAATCTGATCTTTCCTCAATGCACGATCAAGAATTGCAAACTGTTTTCGCTTCAAACCAGGAGACACAATCAGATATTGTCACTGCTCAAGACCACGAGTTGTGTCATAACTACACCTCAACTCAGCTTGGGGAGATGCAAGGTGATCATACTCTGACTCCTCATCATGATGAGCTACCCGTTTCTGCCTCAGCCCAGGAGCAGAATATGCAACCAGTTTTTGCTACAATCAAGGAGGAGAAGACACAGCCAGCTATCACTACACTCCAAGAGGAGTCACAGTCAGTTCTTGGCACCATCCAGGAGCAAGAGACGCATGCTATTCTTGACACTGCCCAACTTGGTAGGATGCAAGCTGTTCCTTCCACACCCCAGGAGCACGCTATGCAACCGGTCCTGGCCGCCACAGTTCAGGAGAATTCGATGTTGCCAGTTCTTACCTCTGCTCAGGATCATGAGAGGGAACCTCTGGCCACATCAGAGGAGGCGTTGGGGGAACCTGTTCCTGCCATGACAGAAGGGCAAGAAACACAACATTCTCTTGGCACAAAAGAGCAGGCAATTCAATCTGTTACCATTGCAACTCTTGAACAAGGAGACAGACAGCCAGTTGTTTTAATGGTGGAGGCTCAAGGAGAAGCTCCGATGACTCCTGCCTTTACAGAGGGGCAGAAAACACAAGTTATTGACTCTGCGAAGGAACACGAGTCTGAACTTGATCTTGGCGCAAAAGAGCAGGCCAGTCAATCTGTTACTGTAACAGATGGACAAGACGACACACATCTACTTGTTTTAACTGGTGAGCAGTCTCAAGAGGAGACTCAGCCTATTTCTGCCTCAATGCAGGAGCTGAGGACTGTACCAGATGTTCCCTCAGTCCAGGAGTTGGATCATGATGAGGATGCTGTGCAAGGACAGGAGTTGCAACCTGATCCCGTGACAACTGAGGAGCATGAGGCTGTGCCAGACTCTTCTACATCCCAGGTGCAGGATGTGCAGTCTAATCATGCTACAGAACTTGAGCAGGATCTGCTTCCTGATAATGCTACAAATGAAGTGCCAGAGGTGGATTGTGATGATGGCACACATCAGGTGCTGGAGGCACAGCATAGTACTAACAGAAATCAGGAGCTGGAGATGGATATTGCGACAGATCAGGAGCAGGGGAAACAATGTCATGATGCAACAAGTCAGGAGCAGGAGATGAAATGTGACAATGCCACGAGTCACGAGCAGGAACTGCAATGTGCCAATGCCACTAGTCAGGAGCAGGAGTTACGATGTGACAATGCCACAAATCAACGGGAGATGGAATGTGATAATGATGCCGATAAGAAGAAGCCTGTAGCGAAATCTGGTGAGTCTGCATCCAATAAGCAGGATGCACAATCTGATAGTGAGCAACAATTGCAAGCTGATCATGCCACTAACCAGGAGGCAGAATCCAATCTTGCCGCACAAGAGCAGGACATAAAATCTGATGGTGTGGAAAAACATCCTACTCAGGATCAGGCGACGGAATCTGATCTTGCTGCAATCCCAGACTCTGAGACACATCCTGATCCTGTCCCCACGAAGGATCAGGAGATGCAACATAGCCCTTCATCTTTGGAAAAGAACACAGATTAATTTTCAGGTATGCATATTTTATTTGGCCACCAGTTTCTGATGCTCTATAAAAGCTTGTTTTTGCGTTCTAGGATAGAAAGTTCATATCGAATGTCCAAATCTCTTTTTGTTCCCCACCCGAAAACACATAAGGATGCTGTTTCCTTTGACCTTGGTAATATTTAATTTTTTCCAGGGTTGTTGAAAGAACACTAATGGCTTTTTCCATCGCTATGCAGCCTCGCACATTAATTTGATGGTCAAATTATTTACATATGTGTTATATATATTTTTGGGAATGGGATGAAGTGCTTTCAACGTCAAAGAGAACCAACATCATGTAAAACACCGTTCCACTTAATATACACTTATTTATGGACTTGTATTTCTTGTCTACGCAATCCTACCAACATCCTATTTGGGTATGATATGATTATTTCACAATTTCAGGTCATACGGAAATGCAATAGCCAACTGAAGACCACAGTGCCACTAACGAGAGAACGACACGACGTGTGCCAAAAGGTGATCAGACCATCGTTCAAAGTTGCATCTGGTAATCAGTTTCATTCGGGGTTACTTGAGGCTCTCCCCCTTCGTTTCATTCTCAAATATTGACAGGTTTTAATGTTTTAAGCTTAGTTCCTCCCCGACAGTACTAGTTGAATGTAAATTAATGTTAGCCCAAGCTTTTCCTCCCACTTTCTGTTGATTTGTTGGCGGAGGCTGGCTTTTGAATCTGATACATCTTGCACTCTACACTACGTTTTCCAATCACAGCCATCGAAGTGAAGCATGGAGGAGCTTATTTGGAAGCCAAATGGTTTTGAAACTTCATGCTTTCTTTTTTTGGATAGCTGTTGCTCCAATGTATAGCAATCTTGGGGATTGGACCCAACCCCATCTCAGCCGTTCATTTTCATTTGATAAAAATTTTGCTCCGTCGGCGTTTTTTGTTGGAATGACAAAATTTGGCTCTGAAAATAACGTAATAGGATTGAAATGCTTCAGGTCAAATTGCACGATTCAGATTATTTTGGATTGGACATCTCTGTACTGTTAAAATCGGAAGCAAAATAAGATTCAAATATTCAATTTTTAATGTGAAACTTCACAACTTGCTCAGTTTTTGCTAAAAACAAAAATTCCGGCCCATTGCCAACAAGTTTTATTGTTAGCATACAAGGAAAGTGTCTCCGACTCTCCATAGATTTTATCGTAGATTCTATTTATCATATCTATGATAATATCGCAGCTCTGCCAAAAAAAAAAAAAAAAACCGAAGAAGTATATTGGCTCTACCAAAGAAGACAGTATGTTGGGATCCTGGTTGACTTACAAAGAAGAAGAAAGGTGCAAACTTCGGTTCGGTGTTGATCGTGTTGGACCGTCTTACAAAGGAGAAGAGAGGTGCAAGTTTCTTGCAACGAGACTATTCCAGAGACTACTCTTATACTTAAGATCTCTAACGACTAATAATCGTATCTAGACAATAAACTACTGTGGATTCCTGTTATCCCGATATCGGGTTGGGTTCAGGGCCAAAGCGCCAAGTAGAGATCCCGTCTTGTGCAGAATCAACTACGATCAAGGAAGAGAAAGCGGGAGTTGCAAGCAGATGCAGGAGGGACAAACCTCATTTTTCTTTCATCATTGCTACCAATGGAGCACATACAAATGAAGGTTCAATGAAAGGTTAGATGAAGGAACCACGAAAAGAAGGGCACCACAATCGATAATATCCACAAATCATACCTCATCAAAGTTTAAAAAAAAGATCTCTTTACCCCCAAAAATTATCTTTCTGTGGCCTTCCAGAAAGGACAAGACTCTTTGATAGTACAGAAACACTAGAATCAGTGGATAACTGTTCTGTCAAATTTAGTTTTAGAAACTAAACTGAAAACATGTTCATATTATATCCAAAATTTAAATTAATTTTAAGAACTAACCAAGCACATCTTCCTGAATCATCCAAGGGAACTAACAATTTTCATACCAATTTTAAGATATTTTGAACGTTACTTCCATTTAGAACAGAGAGCGATGCCTAACACCAAAACCCAGATGAAGCAACAACCCTTGATTAGATCAGTACTTGCCAATAAATGATAATATATCTATTCAGTGTTCTACAACAACATAGATCCAAGAGCCATAAACACACAAACTTTCTACAAACCAAAATAAAAAAGAGGCATTCATTAAAACTAGGCTTTCAAATTTCTTCCTTTTCTAACCAACCAGCACATATATTGCATATATAATTCCAGGGATATATCCCAATATGGTCAGCAACAAACAAATCCAAAACTCTACCTGCACTTGCAAATCAAAAACAAGAACACAATCAGAAAAACAACTTGAAAGAAAAGACAGAGAAATGTTGTAAAATGAAAACAGAATTTGGAGAGAAGAATTGAGACATCACCCCACAGCCATAGCGAAGGAAAACTCCAAGTGGTGGAAGAAGAATTGCTAATATGATTTCTACAAAAGTTTCAGAACCCATAATTCTTTCTCTGTTTCTGTCTCAATGACAAAAAAATGAGGTTTTAAAGCTGAAGAAAGCTGCACCTTGAAGAAGAAAGAGAACCCAAAACTAGTTGTGGGGAGGTGGCAATAGTCTAAGGTTTTGGGAATGACACGTGGGAGAAGAGACTAACACGTGTGGCACTTTTGCTATTTGGTGTTTTGTGAATAAAATTTGAAGTTCTTACAAGTTTTTCTCTAACATTACTCTACACAAAGTTCAAGGATACAAAATTTATTTTACATACCAACTAAATTCATTAATTTTTAATTTATTTTTAACAGAGATTTGTTAGCATAAAACTACAAGATTTAGGAAATTGTAACCGAAACAAATTTGATAATGTTTTGAATTAGATAGAGGGTGGTTTCAAGCAAGAATCATGGCCGTCCATGGCAGCAGCACAATCAAATTATAGAGAGCATTCAGTTAAGAAACTTGATGAACTATAACAAGGAAATGATGCAAAAACAAAATGAAGATAGTCTGAAAGTTCACCAAATTTGCAGCTGACTTGCCATTACTCATTCTATCTCAAATGGGTAAACAAATAGCATAGAGCAGGACGAGAGAAGAAAGACTTGCCTTCAGCTCAACAAATAGTGTGAAGAAAAACCCACTGAGGATTTTCATCGAACACCTTGTGGGTATGCCCACAGATTCGAAATCTCAGTCCCATAATTCCATATACAGTTCAAAATTTTCAGTCTGTTTCATAAGGAGAAGGAGGAAGAAGAAGGCGCTGATTCGTGAGAGCTTTTGGAAATGATAGAACGAGTTTTGATTTTGATGAATTTGGAAATGGTCAATATGCTGGAAGAGAGGAGCGAAGAACTTTAACCTTTCCGGGTATAATTCCTTGCCCACTATTTGTATATATTCGGTAACAAATTTAAAAATATTAAATTAATAAAAATAATTATTACTTATTTTAATAATATCCTTAAACTAAAAAAATACTTTTTTTAATTTTAAAATTTTTAAAAAATTATAAAAATACCTTTATTATCAACGTTATATTAAAAAAATATTATAAAACTAAAATATTTATCATTTTAAAAAAATTCTTATCGTTAATATATAAAAAAATAAAAAATGAACCTTCACGTTATCTTTAGAAGTTCATGAATATTTTTGAAATATGAGAAGGCTTAAAAATATTTTTAAAATTTTAATTTTCTTTTAAAAGTATTAATAAATTATTTTCGAAATTTATAGTTATTTTTTAAATAAAAAAAAAGTAACCCTTCTTCTCTTTCTTCTTCTCCTTAGGGGCTGGATTTCGAGATTCTTAATGCTAAAACCCTAGGCGCCATTGTTGGGGAGGCCATGGAAACTCCTTCAATCTCAAACCAGCGACCATCGGAACTGATTCAAACCATCACAACGATTCTCACTTCCACCAAAGCGCCTCTCACAGCACTCGCTCCTTACGCCGCTCACCTTTCCCCTTCCCTCGTCTCCTCCATTTTATCCTCTAAAGCTCTGAGTTCTCATCCCACTATTCTCCTCTCTCTCTTCAAGTGGGCTCAGAAGCATGTTCCTTCCTTCTCTTCTCCGCCAAATAATTCTCTTTCTTCTCTCTTCACCATCTTGCCATCTCTGTTCAGTCACAACAAGTTCTCTGATGCCAAATCCCTTCTTGTCTCCTTCATTGCCAATGATCGCCAGCATGAACTTCATAAGTTGATTCTTCATCCAACTCGTGATCTTCCCAGGCCGTCCAAGGCTCTTATGGATACCTCCATTGGCGCCTATGTGCAAATGGGCAAGCCCCATCTGGCTGCTCAGATTTTCAAGAAGATGAAGCGGCTTAATTACCGGCCGAATTTGCTCACGTGCAACACATTGCTGAATTCTTTGGTACGATATCCTTCTTTGAATTCGATTCTGTTGTCTAGAGAGGTATTCAAGGATTCTGTTAAACTGGGTGTGGTGCTGAATACTAATAGCTTCAATATTTTGATATATGGGTATTGCTTGGAGAGTAAATTTAAGGATGCTTTGGATTTGGTGAATAAAATGGGTGAGTTTGGCTGTGTACCGGATAATGTGAGTTATAATACGATATTGGATGCATTGTGCAAGAAGGGGCAGTTACATGAGGCGCGAGACTTGCTGTTGGACATGAAGAATAAAGGACTGTTGCCTAATAAGAATACGTATAATATTTTGGTTTCTGGGTACTGCAAATTGGGGTGGTTGAAGGAGGCAACAAAGGTGATCGAACTAATGACGCAGAATAATTTGTTGCCTGATGTTTGGACTTATAATATGTTGATTAGTGGGTTTTGTAATGATGGTAAGATTGATGAAGCTTTTAGGTTGAGAGATGAGATGGAGAAGATGAAAATGTTGCCTGATGTGGTTACCTATAACACGTTGATTGATGGGTGTTTTGAGTGGCGGGGTAGTTCGGAGGCATACTGTTTGATTGAAGAAATGGATAAGAAAGGACTAAAGTGTAATGCAATTACTTACAATATAATGTTGAAATGGATGTGCAAGGAAGGTAATATGAATGAAGCAACTAACACTGTCCAGAAAATGGAAGAAAATGGATTCTCCCCTGATTGTGTTACGTACAATACTCTTATAAATGCTTATTGTAAATCTGGAAAAATGGGAGAAGCGTTTAAAATGATGGACGAAATGACCAGGAAAGGTTTGAAAATTGATACTTGTACCCTGAATACTATTCTCCATTCTCTCAGTGGGGAGAAAAAGCTTGATGAGGCATATAAGTTACTGTGCAGTGCTAGTAAGCGGGGCTATATTATCGATGAGGTTAGCTATGGTACTCTGATCATGGGTTACTTCAAAGATGAAAAGGCAAACAGAGCCTTAAGTCTTTGGGATGAAATGAAGGAGAGACAGATTCTTCCAAGTATTGTCACCTATAATTCTGTGATTGGAGGACTATGTCAGTCGGGGAAAACGGATCAAGCTATAGATAAGCTGAATGAGCTTCTTGAGAGTGGATTAGTCCCTGATGAAACTACTTACAACATAATTATTAATGGCTATTGTTCGGAAGGGAATGTGCAAAAAGCATTCCAATTCCATAACAAAATGGTTGAGAATTTTTTCAAGCCAGATGTCTTTACCTGTAATATTCTTCTTTGTGGGTTATGTAGAGAGGGTATGCTAGAGAAGGCTCTTAAGCTGTTCAATACTTGGGTTTCGAAAGCCAAAGACATTGATGTAGTTACATATAATACCTTAATATCTAGCCTGTGCAAAGAAGGGAAATTTGAGAATGCTTATGATCTTCTCACAGACATGGAAGAGAAAAAATTAGAACCTGATAATTATACATACAATGCAATTCTTGGTGCACTAACAGATGCTGGGAGGATTAATGAGGCTGAGAAGTTTATGTTGAAAATGGTTGAATCAGGAAAATTGCATGACCAGAATTTAAAATTTGACAAAGGGCGGAGTGTGGCAACCTCTGAACTTCCAGAACACATCGATTCCAAGTCTATGGCGTACTCGGATCAGATAAATGAACTGTGTAATCAGCATAAGTATAAGGATGCAATGCATCTTTTTGATGAAGTTACAAAGAAAGGTGTTGTTTTAAACAGATATACTTATCTAAGTTTGATGGAAGGGCTGATTAAGAGGCGAAAAAGCACATCAAAGGCCAGCCGATCATAATGTAATCTTCATGACGTTATGAATGTCAAATGGGCTCAACCTTTCTGCAGGTTCTAATTGAATCTTGAGGGGTTTCTACTCAAGGATGTAGGTATGTTCTTTTCAACTTAGAGTTGAGACATGGGTTACTTTACTAGACATTGGTGTACAGTGTACTTTGGTGATTTCATTTATTTATCGTTTTCTTTTGTTTGATTGACCTCATTGGCTCTTGCTTTGTCTTTCTTCTGTTTCCTGTTTTCATATAGCTGTCTATGATATGGTCTGATGTTAAATTGAGCTGTACTTAACTCATAAGGTTATAGGAAGAATGATCTATTCAGATGTACAAACCTTTGCAATTGATAAAATACAATCCATTCATGTGGTTTCAAAAAGTTGATAAATCATCATACTAAGAAATTTCATGGGAATGACTTTAGTTTGTAATTCAAGCTGTTTCCTAATTTTTATGAGTTTAACCCCACATGAAAATGGGTTGCAGGTCTCTCTATTTTTTACGCACAAAAAGATCTCTACAGTTAGTCATTGTTGCCTGGCTTAGTGGGTGATGAAATTTCGTTTCTGTGATGAAGATCAGGTGTTTATTCTTTTGCATATGGAGTGAAATTTGCCCAGCTGTTACAATGGTGAGTGCATTTAATGAAAGAAAATCTTCTAAGAAGACATCATGTGTACAAATTCTTTGCTAATTAAATGGTCTCTCTTGCCACAGATTCATTCCATACAATGGTGCCGCGTAGATGTGATGGATCGTTTTGATTCATTCCATACTTTGATTGACGTTTATTGCCTAGTGAAATGAAAGTAGTTTCAGGAGAGAAGAATCAGATAGGTGATTTAGTTTTAAGAACTTTCTGGTTTTGAAAACATTCTAACCCACCCTTCACCAATAGACTAGCGGGAGTAATGATTGAAGCTTCCGAACAAAAAGATGTGATTCTGAATGCAGAAATGTCCTGCAAATTATCATAGGAAACAGTTGGGATGGCTGGATGTGGTTGGTTTCCCGGGATCATTAGAACGGTACTCAACTTATAATCAGTATAAATCTCAAAGTACAAGGTGATCTAAACCTTGATATTATATTGTCTCCTTCAAATCTTATGCCAATAGGTTATCATTTACTAAACCATCATTCCGAAGAAACTTTGTATTAGGAATGTAATATTACTCAACTTTCTATTACAGAGACTCCTCTTCTCTTCTTTCTTTACTACCGAATGATAGTAAAACCATGCAGGTATTTGCTTTTTTAAGCATAGGGAAGAAAGCTCGGCGGAGACCAGTCCAGCTGCATATCTCATTCTCAATATATGAATGCCTGCTGTCTCGACATGTGGCAGCCGCCTCATGCAGAAGGGTTCATGGGAGAAAGTTCCAACATCGCAGCGGTTTCAAGTTTGTTCTTTTCCCTTCTGATTCTCTCTTCCCTGCAAACCCCATCTCCCATGTGCTCTACTTCTGAATTCATTCCTAGCTTCCTATTATATTACATTATGTGCTTAGAGGTTAGTTTCGCATGATGTTGATAGGATTTTTTTTGTATACATCACTATATCAATAAAATGGTCTCTGTTTCCTATTTAAGAAAAAAAAAAAAAACAAGTCGGATGGAGTAGCATCTTAGATATTTCTGTATGCAATAAAAGAAAATATCTCTAGTTTATCTATTGAACTTCTTGTAGCTTTTTTCTTTGATTTTGGAAATAGTTTTCAGAACGTGATTGATTAACTTATCTAGAAATCTATGATTTAGGAAGCCTTTTTAGTTCTAAAGCAGTTCTGAGCAACTTGGATCGAGTTTTTGTTCTTAAAATATATATATATATATATATTTATTGTTGATGCATCTTTAGGACTGCTTGCGACTTTTGGTATTTGACAGTATATATCAACTGTTGAAAGAAAATTTCATAGTTCATGAGGGAGGAGGATTAGAAACATTAAGTTCAACATTTTGAAGTACTATGGGTTTATTTGTTTTAAACTTCAAAAGATCTTATTTTAATTTTGAATTATTGAAAACCGAACTTCCATTGAGGCAAATTAAAGCATGCAAATGGACAATATAGGAGAGCCTGCAACAAAAGAAGCATGAATAAAGCATAAAAACTATCTAAAACTGAACCTTCTAATCACCAGTGGGAAGTGAATTCAGTTTCTACCCTTGGCATAAACTTGAGTAATCAAAGCTCTAACAAATTCCAAGTAAGCTCCCCTTGTTCTTGTTGTTAATAATTAAAAACAAGAGATTATTACAAAATTTTAAGATCATAGCTCCTTGAAAGCCTCCTGATTCTTATCCTACTTCTGAATCTAAGATCGTAGCTAAAAAGGTACAGTACACCAAAGAACCTCTCCCTTATCTTGAAACAAAGAGTAGAAAAGGACCTCCTCTATCATCAAATTGTACTATTTGTTTGAAGCCAACTCCACATTAAAAGTGTACAAAATGATGTCCACATAAAATGCGCATACGAACATTTTAATTTCACAAAAATTTGGTCCGAAGTCTCAGACAAAATGTGGTACATACCCTACTGTAGCCCCAAAGAATGCCTTTGAGTATGATATTAGGTTGACACTTTCCATAATAAGCAAAAGAAGCTCAACTTTTGTAAGGGGATCTTAGTGTTTATCTCTTATCTTTTCATTCCGTACTATCGTATGTGACTGTATCTATGCTTATTATTCTTGGTTCATATATTTTTCTACTCTGGGAATAAGGTCTAAAACCTTTTTTACTTTTCATATGAATTAATAATAAAAAGCTTCAAGTTCTAAATTCTATTTTAGTCTTTATACTTTCATTTTTATTTTCTTTTGGTTTCTAAACTATGAAATGCTATTTTGATAGTGAATTTCACAATCCTGCCATTGACTTTCCATTGATAATTTAACAGAAACTTGGATTCTTTTAAGAAATGGACACTTGATTTAACCAATATAGCTTCAAACCCTCGTCTGAGTAGAAATTCATGTATTTTACTTTATAAAGAACCAATGTCAATGATTCAATAGTTGTTTATACAAAACACTTGGAAAGCTTATGGACAAAAGAGAAATAAACGTTGAAGTTTGGGACTTTAAACTTGTTTAAACTCCTCCTTGGTTTTGAACTTCATGTTTTGTTTCATTCTGCATTGTTTTGTTTAGTTCCTCAATTTTTTTAAATATTCTTATGTAGTTGCTAAAGTTTGCATAAAAAGCACTATTGTGAACTTAAATTCATTTAGAAACTCTGACTCAACTAATTAGATGTGATTTCACACACTTATCTATAAAGATACATGTTAGGTTTAATGGTGTTTGGAATGTCTGAAATCTTAGAAATCTAAATACAATAAAGCAAGAAATCTATGGGATTAAATCAGTAAATCTTGAATTCTCTCCATTGTTGAACTAAAAAGAATCTTGAATCCTCTCAAATTTTAGTTGGTAAAAAGAAATGGAAACCTCATAAAATGCAGAGATTTTTGCATTATTTTGATTCTGTTTGTAATATGATCAAGAAGTCAAAAAGGATAGGAGACATCTACTGACTGAAAGGATAGGGAGACATCTACTGACTGACCTACTCCCACTCTCCATCAACCAACATGATATCTGCCTCCCCCTCCTCTCTCCCTTACTTCACTTCAAAATCTTAGTTTTCCATTATCTTCCCCCACTTAGCATCCTTATCCTTTCTCATTGTTTTAATATATAGTTTTAGTCTTTAAGCTAAAGAAGTCACTGATTCTTCCTGTTGTTTCCATTTGCTCATATCAGACATGAAGTCACTGATTCATTCATCATGTTGAAAATAACTGTATTGATTATTTTGATGAGAATGTTAGATTATGGTAGCTTAAATATATTCTCAACACTCTTCTTCACTTGCAAGTTTATATGAAATGGATAGATTTGAACAAAAAATCGTGGACGGGCGGGCAAATAGTTTAGAGTGAAATACTTGATTCCCCCCGCCCTCGTCCTCGTCCTCGCCCTCGCTCTACTTTTCCTTTCAATTTAGTCTTTATATATTAGACTAATCCTTAATCTGCTGTCTCTTATGCTTAACTTTTGAAAGATATGTTATATTGTAGCAAGAAATGGAAGATTGTTATGGAAGTAGAGGTAGGGGAGGAGTCATTAACCCCATTAAGGGGGAGAAAGAATAGAATAATGTGATTTGAAGTGAGTGAATGAAGTCCTAACTAACAGGTAGACTTATTATTATGGTGGGCGTTCTTTGGTGGGTTTTCTTGTTGCAAAACCAGAACGCACTCTGTAACCTTTCTTCTAGTTTGAAAGCCGCTTTTGATTGGTTAGAAAAATGAGATAAGATGGTGTAGCCTTAGAAGAAGATGGGTTTTGACCCAACTTTTTGAGAATTGTACACACAGAAGAAAGCCTTCTTCTTCTTCTGGTGCCTTCCAACTCTTATAGAATAATATAATCAAATACATCATTCTACAGTGTCTTGCACTCACACCTCTGACTCACCAAACAGCACACACAGCCTCACAATCTTCATTCAACTTGCACCAAAAGTTGGGTGCCTTTCATTCTAATCTCTTATCAGTGGGATTCAGATTGATTGGATTGTTTTAAACTAACCAAGCTTAGAACATCTTTTTCTTTGATTCTTTTCTTTGTAGTTGTTTGGCAGGAATCATGATTTCAATACCTTATCTTATACCGTCTTTGTTTGCTTTTAGCTGACATGATTTCGTATGGTAATGTAATCTTTTGTGGTTGTCGTTTGTTATGCTTTTGTAGCGTCGAAGAAAGTACTTGTTGTACCTTGAGATGAGTTGGAACGACTCCTCGTAGGCACGGAAAATGCAGGGCTAAAGATAAAAGCTTGGAAATATTGAGGTATATTTTAAGCAAAATTGTGATTAGCAACATAGTTTTAGGGACAAAACATAGCATAGGATACTGAATCGAAATGAAATAAAATGAATTAGAATTTTTTTTATTTTTTAATGAAGTATAATATTTGAAAACTAAGTCCAAATAAGCAATGACGCGTGGACTTTTTTCCACTTATCTTTATCCCACAATTATTTATTGGAATCCAGTTTAGAAATTACTAAAATAACCAAAATTCCATTTCGACCAAACCCTATTTCCCTCTTTTCCACGTGTCACTATAATATTTGGGCCAAAATTACCTGAATTACCCTTTATATATAGAGGTAAATTACATTTTTAGTCCTCTGAGTATGAATTTTTTATTTGGTCAATAAGTTCAATTCTCAAATAAGTAATGTAATGCTAACGTACAAATTTGAGACGTTTTCAAGAATCGTAGAAACCATTTGAGGACTAAATTATCAGTTTTCTAAATTTTAGGACCAAATAGAACATTTACTCTTCCTCGAACTCGGGTTCGGGTTGAAAAATATGTGTATATATGTTTGGGGGTTGGAATTTTTGTTTATCTGCCTTGAATTTTTCAAGTGTTCAGTGAGGTTGACACTAATTTGACAAATGGTATGTCTAAATAAAAACTTTACATTTGTCTTATTTTCATGGGTTTTCCATTCAATTTATTTATATTATAACTTCCATTGCCTAACACCATAAAGTTTAAATTATATTTTTTTATACAAAAAAAAAAATATTGATTATTGGTTACTTGTACTGTCCAAAGAGGAAGTTTGGTAGTTATGAAACAAAAGAGATCGATATTTACTCATTTATTTATCAAAATATTTCGTAATAAAAAAGTAAAGTAGAGTGTGAGAAGGCAGTCTTCTCAAATAATTTTTAAATGGGTCGGGTTAGATTCTAATGTCTCCTCTCTCTCAATTTTAATCTAACTTCGAGTAGAGTCTGAAAATTCAAAAAAATTTACTTCTCAACTTTAATCTAAAATAAAAGGGAGTTATTTGAATGCAAAATTATTTGATTTAATTATAATTATGAGAAGTCTTGTAAAGATCGAAGACAAAAAGGTGTTTGAAAGGAAAGATTCGAAAGGTTGGAAGTATAGGGACCCCTAAATAAAAGCTCCTCTTTAATTTGATGACATTTTACTTCAAAATCATTTCATAATTTCCCTTTTTTTTTTTTTTTTTTTTTTTTTTTAATAATTTGATTTGAACTATTCAAAACTTTTAGTCAATATTATCGTATAAACCCTAATAATTTTCACATTCAATTGTCTTTTCCTTTGATTAGAATAGACAAATCCACAACCAAATTTAAATAGAAAGTTGACCGAAGGTAATTTAGATGTACTAATGGATTACTTAAACCACATTTTTTACTATAAGTGCATCTACTATTAAAGTCTTGTCATGACCAATGAGTCCCACATTCTTTTCTAGACAAAATTAGATGTGAATTTACTTCATTATACACGACCAAGGTACATGCATATGAACCCACTAGATGAGTATCAATCCAATCTAGGCCTGACTACGGGCATGTGCACGCTCATACATATTGAAACTAATGAAAAAAAAGGGGATGCAAAATAAAGTAGCGCAATTGTATATCGTACACAATGCATGATTGAAGGAGTAGTCCATGAAATGAATATATAACATGCATGAGGTTCCATGATATAAGAGAAAATAATTGTTCAATGATATGGTGCAACGTAA